TCCCCTTACCTGCCCGGAGCTGCTCCATGAACATTCCTGCTGCTCCAGCCCCTCCTGGGGCCCATGGGGCTCTGCAGAGGCTCTGCTCTCCCTCCCCAAATCCCAGGGGTGCTTTGAGCTCTTGGGTTGTGCACAAATAAGGAAGTGGCTGCTGATGTTATCCGGACACGTTTCCTGCTCTGCTGGGGATGAGCACAGGCACGGAGGGCTCAGGCAGATCCTGCCTGCCCCTCTCTGCTCTTCCCCTCCATTCCCTCCTCTCACAGCCCAGCCCTGCTCCTGAGAGCCTGCAGGAACAGCCAGTGGCCTGGCTGAGCTCTGCTTCCCACCAAAACCCCGGGGATGGGCCCATCCCAAAGGCTGGGGGAGCTGCTGCCCCACCCCTCACACGGGGCTTGGGATGCTCTCCAGTTCAGCCCTGGGATTTGGGATGTTGTTCATGAGGAAGGAGGATTTTGTGTGCTCCAATTCCCAGGTTTCTGTGTGCTCCATGGCCCTGGAGGAGTGCTGCATTCCAGGCTGATGCTCCAGAAGAATCCTCCTCACTCACCTCAGTGCTTACAAACAAATGGAGCAGGTGAAAACAAAACCAGCAGGAAAAACCTCAGGGGAGCCTTGAGGATCTTGGGACCAGCAGCCCTGCCTCTGCTGGTGGCCCACGGTCAGGATGGGAGTTGGGATGGTCACTGCCAGGGCTCCCAGGGCTGCAGGTTCCCTCATTTCCACTCCCCTGCAGGGCAGGGCCATGAGCCACGCCTGGGATGGAGCTGAGCCCAATTCCTGCTCTTCATGGCAGCTTGCTGGGTATTAATTGTTACTTTCTGTATGCAGCAAGGTCCTGAAGCTGCAGTGTTAGCTGGAGGAAATGAGAAGAACCCTTCCAGATGCACAAAGGAAATGAAATACTGAAAATGAAAGGAAATCTTCCCTGGTGGCTTTACAGAATCCCAGTCTGGTTTGAGATGAAGGGATCTTAAAGCCCATCCAGTGCCACCCTCAGGGACACCTTCCACTGTCCCAGGTGGCTCCAAGCCCTGTCCAACCTGGCCTTGGGCACTGCCAGCACAAATCTTTGATCTCCACTGCAGGACTGCAGCTCCCCAGGGCAGAGAGCTGGGGGCTCCACGTGGTGAAAATTACCCCAAAATGTCACTGAGTGCCTGAGGAAGGTCATTCACAGAGATCTGAACTTCAAAATGCTCCAGACAGAGACTGTTTGAACTTCAAAGAATTCCAGGATCATTCAGGTTGGAAAATCCCTCCCAGCCCATGGAGTCCCACCTGTGCCCAATGCCCACCTTGTCCCCAGCCCAGGGCACTCAGTGCCACATCCAGGTGACACCTGCAGGGATGGGCACTCCAAACCTCCCTGGGCAGCCCCTGCCAAGGCCTGAGCACCCTTTCCATGGGGAAATTCCTCCTGGTGTCCACCCTGAGCCTGCCCTGGCTCAGCCTGAGGCCATTTCCCCTTGTCCTGTCCCTGTTCCCTGGAGCAGAGCCCGACCCCCCCCGGCTGTCCCCTCCTGTCAGGGAGTTGTGCAGAGCCACAAGGTCCCCCCTGAGCCTCCTTTTCTCCAGGCTGAGCCCATTCCCAGCTCCCTCAGCCTCTCCTGGGGCTCCATTCCCTTCCCAGCTCCCTCAGCCTCTCCTGGGGCTCCATTCCCTTCCCAGCTCCCTCAGCCTCTCCTGGGGCTCCATTCCCTTCCCAGCTCCCTCAGCCTCTCCTGGGGCTCCATTCCCTTCCCAGCTCCCTCAGCCTCTCCTGGGGCTCCATTCCCTTCCCAGCTCCCTCAGCCTCTCCTGGGGCTCCATTCCCCTCCCTGTTCCAGCCCCTCCAGGGCTCTCCTGGCAGGAGAACCCAGAGCTGGAGCCAGGGGAGCACTCCCAGCTCTGCTGGAACACCTGGGCATGGCAGAGAGCAGTGCCTGGCAGGGTAAATCCACATGGAATGCTGTCCCATGGCTCAGGAAGAGCCACCACAAAGACAACAAACTCACAAACTGCCAGGGGAGGAAGGTGCTACTCCAGAAATCCCTGGCCCAGAGCAGCCAGCCCTGCTTTGTTCCACATGGGAAATGGATTTCTAGGAAATTTTTCAAATTTGATAGGTTTATACAGTGTGTACCTGTATGTAAATTTTGAGTTAAGAAATGCTGATTTAGAAATATTATGGAACAGGATAGATATTGTTGAGAGGGCAATGGAATTAGAAATAAGTTTTAAAGGATGGCCCTGGAAATAAGATTAGATATTTTGGAGAAATAGAAGTATGAAAGATGTATTGTAGTAGGATTTATGAGGGGTAATTTTAGATGATTGGTTTAAAAATATTTGTAATATAGTGTAATTAAAGTTGACAGATTAAAAAATGTTTATAGTGTATTGCAATTAGGAAACAGTTGGGTTTTGACTGTGATGGTGTGAATTACAATATTTGTATTGTTTTATTTGTTTTATGAGACTGAAAATAGAATCAAAGTTCCACACATCATTCTCCACGGAATTCTTGAAGGGATCTGAAGGAGAAATCCACAACCAGCAGGGAATTCCTTGGAGTGAGTGCCCAGGGCATGTTCAACCCTTCAGAGCTGCTCCCAGGACAGGAGGGACAGCTCAGGAACCCCTCTGGCCACAGCTCCCCTGACCCCATTCCTAACTCATTCCTCACCAACACCCCAAAACCAGCACTTTATGGGAAAGGCCACAATGCCAGTCCAGCAAAAACCATCAGCAGCAGAGCTCAGAGAGGAGCAAACCCCTTTTTTTGTATTTACACCTCACACTGTCCTGCTCTGGGCACTCCTGGCAGCTGTCCCAGGGTAACATTTCCACTCCTTCTCACCTGGCTTCCTCCCCCCTTTCCAGCCCTTTGATAGTGTGATATATAAAACTTTTATCTCACATCTCTACATGTATTTTTAAATAAAGATCTCTCTGAAATATACAGAAATTCCCTCACAGGTTTTACTTAATGTTGTAACATTGGAAATACAGGAAAAGTAGACAGAATCCCCCTTATTGACCAAGTATTTTGAGGAGATTTGTTAAAAATGAAAGTATTTCAAACCTTATTGACCAAATATTTTGAGAAGATTCATTAAAAATGAAAATATTTCAACCTTCTTGACCAAATATTTTGAGAGGATTCGTTAAAAATGAAAATATTTCAACCAGACTGTCTACAGCTTTCCTGGCAAAGGATGGATTTGGAGTCAAGTTTAATTTCTAAAGGTTTTTTTTTTACCATTTTGTAGTTTCCTGATGCTTTCACAACTGCACATAACCCAGCCTGGTGTTGGCCTGTGGCTGCAGGGCAGGGCTGGCTGGGGCTGGCCCAGGTGACCCCCTGGCCAGCTCTGGGACCCCTCTGCCTCAGCCAGCAGCACCAGGGCACTGGAAATACCTTTGAAATAATGTCACAGAATTCACAGAATTCACAGAATCCCCAGGTTGGAAGAGACCTTCAAGACCATCGAGTCCAACCCAGCCCCAGCACCTCAACTCAACCCTGGCCCCCAGTGCCACATCCAGGCTTTGTTAAACACCCCCAGGGATGGTGTCCTGCCTCAGCCAAGGAATTCTGTGCACGAGTGAGGGGAGAAGGAAGAAGGAGAAGAGTGGATTGAAGGTGAACACTAACAGGACTCAATATCCAAATATTGCCTGGCTTACGAGGGAGAGGAGCCTAAACCAGGCCAGAGCTGAGGCTCAAACCCTCCAGGAGCCAGCAGGGATGCAGGGCATGGCAAGGGAAGGCTGGCAGGAGCAGCCTGGCAGTGCCTGGGAGGTGTCAGAGCCTTGCACTCAGCTGTCACAGCGTCCTGGGTTGTAAGATGTGGTTTGGGGTGTGTATTCACTTCCCATCTGTCAGAGGTGGGGCAGTCATCCTCTGTTCATTGGGCAGTTTTCTTTATCTCTCCCACACCCTGTGGGATACAGGGTGTCATGTGGAAGAGGTTTTACAGCCACTTCTGTGAGAGATTTTGATAAGAGGATCCATGTTTACCCCTGAAAGAATTTCCTACCAAGGTTATTGACATAGAAACCAAGACAGGAAGAAGGATAAATAAGAGAAACCTGCAATTCTCTGTTCCAATGAGCACTCCGTCTCTTGTGACCAATGAGTAAAGTATAAACTTATGAGCTCTGTAAGAATGTATAAAAAACATTGCATGCTGTAATAAAAACAGTTTGAAGCCTTCTGAAAATTGAGTGTGCTGCTTTGCATTATCTCCATCTCAACTACAACAATGTCAGGGAGTGTTCTGACTCTGTCAGGGTTGTTTTGTATGACTGCATTTTTTATTTTATTTTTATTTTCTTCCCTAATAAAGAACTGTTATTCCTATTCCCGTATCTTTGCCTGAAAGCAAGATGAAGAAAGCCCTTAATTTCAAATTTCTAATAATTTATAAATTTATGATGGTAGACAGTGCTTAAGTTTCTGAATGTGTAGTTCAAGGACCTTTTGTCAACAGATTTCCTGAGTACCTGCCTCACATCTTCAGGTCATCAAGAACTCCTGACTGTATTAAACCACATGCTTGTGGTAGTGGCTACACACTTAGGCAATATATTCAACCCTACTCATGCAGTCACACAGATGTTTAAACGTGTGTGTAGAGCCCTTGGGAGTGTGGGCTGAGGGGAAAGAGGGTTTGACTGAACTAACGGAGAAGCCATTATTTTGCCAGATGTTTCTTTCTGTAGGGAATGAAGGAGGAGGTAATGGTTTGAGAAAGTACAGGGCAAGCCAGTGCTACACATATGAACCTCCAGAAGCTCAGCAGAAACACAGTAAGGAAGGGAGTTTACATTTTCCATTTCAGGGGAGGCTCCTGCCTTCCTGTCTTTTCCAACCAAGACACTCAGGTACACTGTCCCCTTCCCTGCCCACCTGCAGCAGCAGCAGCTGAGCTGGGATCATTCAGAGGCCAGAGATGTGCTCTGCTCCCAGCCAGGACCCAGGTGAAACCTCCTCTCCCCAGACAGGAACTCACCTTTCCTTTTCCACCTGCTCTTCCTCCTGTCCTTGGCGGCGCAGCCGTCGCTGCTGGAGCTGCTGTGCTCCGAGCTCTGCGAGTCGGAGTGGCCATCGCTGCTCTCCTCCGAGCCCTCCGACAGCTCCTTCAGCCCATCCGGGATGTCCTTCTGCCAGGGGACAGGACAGAGCCACAGCAGGGTCACCCCAGGGCCAGGGACAGCCCCGGGGCACAACCCCACAACCACAGGGGTTTGTTCAGCAAGTCTGGCCCTTTTAATGCCAGGGGACACGTCCTGAACTCTGCCCCCATTCCCAAAACTCTGTCACCTCCCAAAGTGCCCTTCCCCACATTCCCCATCCCTAAAACTCTGTCACCTCCCAAAGTGCCCTTCTCCAGATTCCCCATCCCCGAAACTCTGTCACCTCCCAAAGTGCCCTTCCTCAGATTCCCCATTCCTGAAACTCTGTCACATCCCTGAAACTCTGTCACCTCCCAAAGTGTCCTTCCCCAGATTCCCCATCCCCGAAACTCTGTCACCTCCCAAAGTGCCCTTCCTCAGATTCCCCATCCCTGGAACTCTGTCACCTCCCAAAGTGCCTTCCCCACATTCCCCATCCCTGATCAGCAGCTCATGGAGGGGTGGGAATAAATGGCTCCCACTTGCCAGAGGAAGGGATGGATGGGATGCCCCCAGATTCCCCCATCCCTGATCAGCAGCTCATGGAGGGGTGGGAATAAATGGATCCCACTGCCAGAGGAAGGGATGGATGGGATGTTGGGAATTGGGAATTGTTCCCTGGCAGGGTGGGCAGGCCCTGGCACAGCTGGGGCTGTCCCTGGATCCCTGGCAGTGCCCAAGGCCAGGCTGGACACTGGGACACCCTGGGACAGTGGCAGTGTCCCTGTCATGGCAGGGGTGGCACTGGCTGGGCTCCAGAGACAAATCCACCCAAATCAGGAATGGTGTGAGCTGGTGTGAGCCAGCTTCCTTCTAGTATTTAAAAGACAGCTTTTTAAAAGACAATTCCCCATTATTCTCTCTGACTGACACTGAGGACAAGGTGATTTCCCATCTCTAGACACAAGCTGAGAGCAGTGAAGTTACCCCCTTAGGGCTGGAGTTTCATCGTTTCATTAACATTTTAATTACTCCTTCACTTCGGGGACAGCAATTCCCACCAGCAAACTGCACTGTGGGTGAAGAGCTGCACCCCCAGAGCTGAGGAGGGAGGGGCTGTTCCTGCTGCCAGGGAGGAACAGGTCCCCTCTGGATCATCCTGGAGAAGCTGGACACCAGCAGGAATTTCCCCGTGGAAAGGGGGTCAGGCCTTGGCAGGGGCTGCCCAGGGGGGTTTGGAGTGCCCGTCCCTGAGGGTGCCCAGGGAAGGGCTGGGGATGAGGTGGGGATCGGGCACAGCTTGGATTCGATCCTGTTGGATTAAGGGTTTTTATGGTTTAGAGATGGGGTAACTGAGAGGTGTTTTAAAAACTTTTATTTTAATTTCTTTTATTTAATATATTTCACTTCATTTCATTTTCATTTCTTTTATTTCATATATTTAATTTTAATTTCTTTTATTTCATATATTTAATTATTAAATTTTCATTTATGTTATTCATTTCATTTCATTTATTTTATTTCATTTTCATTTACTATTTTATTTTATTTCATTTACTATTTTTTAAATTTTATTTAATTTCATTTTCATTTACTATTTTATTTTATTTTATTTTCATTTACCATTTTATTTTATTTTCATTTAATTCACTAATTTATTTTATTTCATTTTTATTTTATTTTCATTTACTATTTTATTTTATTTCATTTCATTTTTGTTTCATTTCATTTTTATTTCACTTCATTTCATTTCATTTCATTTTTCATTTACCCCACCTCTGAATCAAAACCCTTCATCCAACAGATCCCACCGGGGTTTTCCAGCCCTGGGGACCCCAACCACCCCTTTTTGAAGCCGTGTCCCAGGGCTGGCACTCACCTTGAGGGTGTAGACGCCCATCCTGCCCGGGACCTTGTAGAAGATGCCCTCCTCCCCCCGGGAGTTGGTGTGCAGCATGGCATTCAGGCAGGCCAGGGGGGACGTCCCGCTGCAAGAGACCCCGTCAGTGTCCCCGTGGGACCCCCAGCCCCCGGGCAGCCCCGCAGTGCGGGGAGCCCAGATCCAGCCCCACAGAGCAGGGAGCCCAGATCCAGCCCCATAGCCCAAATCCAGCCCCACAGAGCACAGGCAGGGGGCCCTGATCCAACCCCACAGCCCAGATCCAGCCCCGCAGCCCAAATCCAGCCCCACAGACCAGGGGGCCCTGATCCAAGCCCACAGCCCAGATCCAGCCCCACAGAGCACAGGCAGGGGGCCCTGATCCAACCCCACAGCCCTGATCCAGCCCCACAGCCCAGATCTGACCCCACAGCCCAGACCCAGCCCCACAGCCCAAATCCAGCCCCACAGAGCACAGGCAGGGAGCCCAGATCCACCCCCACAGCCCAAATCCAGCCCCGCAGAGCAGGGAGCCCAGATCCACCCCCACAGAGCACAGGCAGGGGGCCTGGATCCAACCCCACAGCCCAGATCCAGCCCCACAGCCCAGATCCAGCCCCACAGCCCAGATCCAGCCCCACAGCCCAGATCCAGCCCCACAGCCCAGATCCAGCCCCACAGCCCAGATCCAGCCCCACAGCCCAGATCCAGCCCCACAGCCCAGATCCAGCCCCACAGCCCAGATCCAGCCCCACAGCCCAGATCCAGCCCCACAGCCCAGATCCAGCCCCACAGCCCAGATCCAGCCCCACAGCCCAGATCCAGCCCCACAGCCCAGATCCAGCCCCACAGCCCAGATCCAGCCCCACAGCCCAGATCCAGCCCCACAGCCCAGATCCAGCCCCACAGCCCAGATCCAGCCCCACAGCCCAGATCCAGCCCCACAGCCCAGATCCAGCCCCACAGCCCAGATCCAGCCCCACAGCCCAGATCCAGCCCCACAGCCCAGATCCAGCCCCACAGCCCAGATCCAGCCCCACAGCCCAGATCCAGCCCCACAGCCCAGATCCAGCCCCACAGCCCAGATCCAGCCCCACAGCCCAGATCCAGCCCCACAGCCCAGATCCAGCCCCACAGCCCAGATCCAGCCCCACAGCCCAGATCCAGCCCCACAGCCCAGATCCAGCCCCACAGCCCAGATCCAGCCCCACAGCCCAGATCCAGCCCCACAGCCCAGATCCAGCCCCACAGCCCAGATCCAGCCCCACAGCCCAGATCCAGCCCCACAGCCCAGATCCAGCCCCACAGCCCAGATCCAGCCCCACAGCCCAGATCCAGCCCCACAGCCCAGATCCAGCCCCACAGCCCAGATCCAGCCCCACAGCCCAGATCCAGCCCCACAGCCCAGATCCAGCCCCACAGCCCAGATCCAGCCCCACAGCCCAGATCCAGCCCCACAGCCCAGATCCAGCCCCACAGCCCAGATCCAGCCCCACAGCCCAGATCCAGCCCCACAGCCCAGATCCAGCCCCACAGCCCAGATCCAGCCCCACAGAGCACGGGCAACCCCACAGAGCATGGGCATGGGGTCCAGATCCGACCCCACAGCCCAGACCCAGCCCCACAGCCCAGATCTGACCCCACAGCCCATATCTGACCCCACAGGCCCCAGGCAGCCCCACAGCCCCCAGGCAGCCCCACAGCCCCCGGGCAGGAGCCCAGATCCTGCCCCTATTCCCAAGGGAATGCAAACTGAAGCTGGCACAATCAGCAATAGGGGAAGCAGTGCATGGATGCTGCAATCCTGGCAAAAAGCAAACCAAAACCCTCCAGGGTCAGGCTCTGCAAGGTTCCTCTGACAAACCTCAAAGCAGCCTCAGCTCTGGGTGAGGATCAGAGCAGCTTTGGGATGAGCTGAGGATGGGCTCCAGATGGATTCAAACTTCTGTTGAAGGTTTTTTCCCCAAAAAAGAACCCGAGTTCTGCTGGAACAAGGGTTGTGGGGCACTAAATGGGAATCAAGTGTGCAGTTCCCCCTGGGAAGGGGGAGCTCCCCAATCCCAGCCAGGAGAGTGGAGCCAGATCCATCTTCCCACCAGTGCTGGAGGGTTTTTGGTTGGCTTTTAACCCATGCTGCTGCAGACAGGAGCAAGCCCAGGCAGGCCCAGCAGGTGAGCTGTGTCCCTAGGGAGGGACAGAGGGACCCCAAACAGGACACAGGAATCCCAAACTGGACACAGGAATCTCAGATTGGACCAAGGAACACCAAACTGGACACAGGGACCCCAAACTGGACACAGAACCCCAAAATGGACACAGGAACCTCCAAACTGGACACAGACCCCCAAACTGGACACATGAACCTGAAACTGGACACAGGAACCTCCAAACTGGACACAGAACCCCAAACTGGACACAGGAATCCCAAAATGGACAGAGAAACCTCAAACTGGACACAGGGACCCCAAACTGGACACAGGATCCCCAAAATCAGAACGCCACCAAACCAGCCCCAGGACACAAAACCAAGGCCAGATGCTCCCCCAGAACTCAGATGAACCCAAAGCTGTTGGGGCCGTGCTGGACCTGCCTGAGCCTGAGGGAAAGAGCTCGGGGTGTTCTCCTTGGCTCACAGCTGGGGCTGCCCTCAGCCCTGGCAGGCTCTGCTCACCATCAGAGGCTGGGAAATGGTTTATTCTTGGAGGTGGAACATGTTCTTCTGGGATGGGGTGGGATAATGGGAGGACTGCAGCCCTTGCTGGGTCTTTGCTGCCTCTGTGCCCAGAATCCCACAACATTCCTTGATTCTGTTCTCCCTCTCCCTGTGTTCTGCACCTGGGCTGCCTCTGCTTACCTGGAGTGCAGCAGCTGCCTAAAACCAGCCCTAGGAACCAGATTCTGTTCACTGTCACAGAATCACAGAATTCACAGAATCCCCAGGTTGGAAGAGACCTCCAAGGTCATCAAGTCCAACCCAGGCGCAAGAGCTCAACTCAACCCTGGCCCCCAGTGCCACATCCAGTCTTCTCCTAAATACATCCAGGGATGGTGGCTCCACCACCTCCCCGGTCCCTGGGAACTCCCAAAATTCCCAGAATTCTCAGAATCATTGGTTTGGAAGAGACCTCCAGGACCATCGAGTCCAACCCAGCCCCAACAGCTCAACTCAACCCTGGCCCCCAGTGCCACATCCAGGCTTTGTTAAACACACCCAGGGATGGTGACTGCACCACCTCCCTGGTCCCTGGGAATTTCCAAAATTTGATTGCCCTTTCTCATGATTTTTTTTTATTTGATTGCCCTTTCTCCTGATTTTTTTTTTATTTTATTGCCCTTTCCCCTGATTTTACCAGTGAAGGCCATCTCCTCCACTTCCTTGGAACGTGGCAATTCCCACAGTTCTACCTCAAAGCAGCCCTTGGAGAAGTAGATGGTGTAAAAGATGAGTTTCTGCCTGCTCCAGCTCCACCAGCACCCCCTGCTCCCCCTCAATCCCTCCCAAACCCACCCGCAGAGCCAGCCTCAGCTCCAGCACTGCCAACGTGCCAGTCCTGGGGGAGGTCCCAAAATGGGATCCATCCTCAGGAGAGAGCCCATGGAGCTCAGCAGGACCAGACCAAGGTCTGGGACTGCTGAAGAACCTCTGGAGCTCAGCAGGACCTGGCCAAGGTCTGGGACTATCCCAGTGCCCCTGGAGCTCAGCAGGACCTGAGCAGGACCTGGCCACGGTCTGGTTGGAAGAGACCTCCAAGGTCATCAAGTCCAACCCAGCCCCAACAGCTCAACTCACACCTGGCACCCAGTGTCACATCCAGTCTTCTCCTAAATACATCCAGGGATGGTGGCTCCACCACCTCCCCGGTCCCTGGGAACTCCCAAAATTCCCAGAATTCTCAGAATCATTGGTTTGGAAGAGACCTCCAGGACCATCGAGTCCAACCCAGCCCCAACAGCTCAACTCAACCCTGGCCCCCAGTGCCACATCCAGGCTTTGTTAAACACACCCAGGGATGGTGACTGCACCACCTCCCTGGTCCCTGGGAATTTCCAAAATTTGATTGCCCTTTCTCATGATTTTTTTTTATTTGATTGCCCTTTCTCCTGATTTTTTTTTTTATTTTATTGCCCTTTCCCCTGATTTTACCAGTGAAGGCCATCTCCTCCACTTCCTGGGAACGTGGCAATTCCCACAGTTCTACCTCAAAGCAGCCCTTGGAGAAGCAGATGGTGTAAAAGATGAGTTTCTGCCTGCTCCAGCTCCACCAGCACCCCCTGCTCCCCCTCAATCCCTCCCAAACCCACCCGCAGAGCCAGCCTCAGCTCCAGCACTGCCAACGTGCCAGTCCTGGGGGAGGTCCCAAAATGGGGTCTGGGACTATCCCAGTGCCCCTGGAGCTCAGCAGGACCAGACCAAGATCTGAGATTACTCTGCTCCCCCTAGGCCCTCACAGGAAACTCCCTCAAGTCCCTCAGTTATTTCTAAAGCTTCTGCCCTGGAAGGTTCTCCAGCTTGGGATCATGGTGATGGATCAGTGATGTTCTCCAAACTGGAATCATGGTGATGGATCAGTGATGTTCTCCAGCTTGGGATCATGGTGATGGATCAGTGATGTTCTCCAGCTTGGGATCATGGTGATGGATCAGTGAGGCTCTGAGCTCAGCTCTGGCTCTTGCTGGAGGTGGATCAGTGATGTTCTCCAGCTTGGGATCATGGTGATGGATCAGTGATGTTCTCCAGCTTGGGATCATGGTGATGGATCAGTGATGTTCTCCAAACTGGGATCATGGTGATGGATCAGTGATGTTCTCCAGGTCGGGATCATGGTGATGGATCAGTGATGTTCTCCAGCTTGGGATCATGGTGATGGATCAGTGATGTTCTCCAGCTTGGGATCATGGTGATGGATCAGCTGGGCTCTGAGCTCAGCTCTGGCTCTTGCTGGAGGTGCAGGAGCTCAGCCCTCTCAGTCAGAGGCAGGAATGGCACCAGGGTTGGGATTAGGGTTGGGCTGGAGTGCCCCAGGGATGGGATGAGATGGGCCTTGAGGTCCCTTCCCAAACCATTCCATCATTGCATGACTCCAAATGCCAGGAATCAACAGCAGGAAGAGATTCCCCTGGACCTGCCTGGGCTGGTTCCACCCCAAATCTCACCTGTGCCCTGGGAATGGACCCCAAGCACCACCAGGACATTGGGATTTGCCCTGCCCAGTACCACGAGCCCTTCCCACAGGGCTCAGCCACCCCATGGCATGGAGCTGCCCCTCCAGGGCACTGCCCTGCCCACAGGAGCATTTCCCTGATAAACCTGGATCAATTCCTGACAAAATGCACCTGACAGGGACATCCTCCACCTCCACTAAACAACTGCTGCCTCATCCAAGGCTCCCAAAGGTCGTTTTTGGCCAAACCTTGAGCAGAGGATTCCTGCTGCAGTCCATGCTGCCAAGGACACTGCTCTGGACACAAAGGGGGATGGTTATCCCACACATTTGGGATATTCAGCACCCTCAGGTGCTTTTCCATGCAAATATTCCTCGGGATTGGGCTTTCCAGGGCTGTGCACACACAGCCTGCGCTATCCCAGCTTTATTCCAGGTGGGAATTCCCTGCTGGTGGACAGCAAAGCCCAGTTTTGGGAGTGGGATGATCACCTTTAAGCACTCCCCACAGCCAGGGACAGACAGGTGACGGGGATCAGGGGAAAATGCAGCTAACCCTGCTGTTCTCATGCTCCCATCCCAGCCCAGAGCCCCGGGAAGGTCAGGACTGGGACAGGCACTGGGCAGTCCTGGGCTCTGTGCACCCAAACCAGCTGGGCTGCAAGCACCAAATTCCCACAGAATTCCCACAAAAATTCCACAAAATTCTCACAAAATTATCCGCAAAAATTCCCACCAAAATTCCCACCTGCCAGAGCTCAGGACACCCAGCAGAGCCTGGCCAGCCTTGCCCAGGCTCAGGTTCCCTGGCTTTCCCAGCACACTCTGAAGATTCCTGGCTTTTCCTTCTCCAGGAGCTCAGCCCAGCCCCAGCCCAGCTTTCATGTCTGGGATCTCCAGTGGGAGAAGTGGGAAATTCCCAATTTACTGGCTCTTGGAAGTTTTAGACCACTTCGGTTCCCCACAGCTGAGGTGTGACCCTCATTCCCAGGGGACTGGAGCCTGAGAAAATCCAGGGAGGGACAAATCCACCCCTCCCTTGGCAAAGGCCAGCAGGGTTAAGCTGGGATCAATCCAGTGCTTTAAGCTGGAACCAAAAAATGGCTCAGCCTGGAGAGGAGAAGGATCCAGGGAGAGCTCAGAGCCTGGGGGGGCTCCAGGAGAGCTGCAGAGGGACTGGGGACAAGGATGGAGGGACAGGAGCCAGGGAATGGCTCCCAGTGCCATAGGGCAGGGCTGGATGGGAGATTGGGAATTGGGAATTGTTCCCTGGCAGGGTGGGCAGGCCCTGGCACAGCTGGGGCTGCCCCTGCATCCCTGGCAGTGCCCAAGGCCAGGCTGGGCAGGGTTTGGATGAAGCTGGTGCTGCCTGCCACAGAAAGTGGTGGATTAGTAAAGGCTTCCCTCTAATCCAGCTAAAAATAACCAACTGGAGAGATTTCTGGAATTTACAAAGCTGTGCATTCCACGTAAATTGTGTTTTCTTACATTTTTTGCCTCAACAAGGCGTTTTGGTGGCTTACAAATATTTATTCTATTTTGAAAATGACCATTTCCCATAGCCACACTTTCCCCAGTGAGCTGGCAAATGCTCCTAAGGGATCTCCAGCAGGTGACAGACCCTGTGCTGGCAGCACAGGCACATTTTTTATTTCCTGTGGCCACTGGAAGGGCTAAACCAGAGTTTGGAGGTGTTTGCAGGTAAAGTGCAGCTCTGTGGCCAACCCAAGGCACAAGGAATTTTTGTTCTGAGCTCTGCCCTGCTGAGGATGTCCCTGAACTACCCAACACCTCAGCCTGACCCACACAAACCGTTGTTTCCCTCCCAGAATTCCCAAACTGCAGGACATTTTAAACTCCACACTAAATTCAAAGCTTCTTTCACACTGAGCAGGGAGGAGGGGTTTGAGTGGAAAATGAAGGTTATGGTGAGGAGTCTGCCCTGAGAGCTGCTGGGGAAGGGGAGGAAGGGGGTGCAGGATCCCTGCCCACTGTGGAATCCCTCTGGATCGTCCCTTCCTGCACTGCAATCCCTCTGGATCATCCCTTCCAGCCCCTTCCCCTCTGGATCATCCTTTTTCTCACTGCAATCCCCCTGGAGCATCCCTTCCCTTCTGGAGCATCCCTTCCCCACTGTGGAATCCATCTGGAACATCTCTTCCCCTCTGCATCATCCCTTCTCCTGTGGAGTATCCTTTCTCCCACTGCAATCCCTCTGGAATCCCTTCCTGCACTCCAGTCCCTCTGGAATACCCCTGGAATTCCTTCCCCACTGCAATCCCTCTGGAATCCCTTCCCCACTGCAATCCCTCTGGAATTCCCTTCCCCACTGCAATCCCTCTGGAATTCCTTCCCCACTGCAATCCCTCTGGATCATCCCTTCCAGCCCCTTCCCCTCTGGATCATCCTTTTTCTCACTGCAATCCCCCTGGAGCATCCCTTCCCTTCTGGAGCATCCCTTCCCCACTGTGGAATCCATCTGGAACATCTCTTCCCCTTTGCATCATCCCTTCTCCTGTGGAGTATCCTTTCTCCCACTGCAATCCCTCTGGAATCCCTTCCTGCATTCCAGTCCCTCTGGAATTCCTTCCTGCACTCTAGTCCCTCTGGAATCCCCCTGGAATTCCTTTCCCACTGCAATCCCCTGCAATCCCCCTGGAATTCCTGCCCCACTGCAATCCCTCTGGAATTCCCTTCCCCACTGCAATCCCCCTGGAATTCCTTCCCCACTGCAATCCCTCTAGAATTCCCTTCCCCACTGCAATCCCTCTGGAATTCCCTTCCCCACTGCAATCCCTCTGGAATCCCTTCCCCACTGCAATCCCTCTGGAATCCCTTCCCCACTGCAATCCCTCTAGAATTCCCTTCCCCACTGCAATCCCTCTGGAATTCCTCTTCCCACCACTCCTGCTCCAAGGCCTCAGGTACCGAACGTGACTTCTCCCATTCTCAAACCAAAGTGGGATCAAACCCTTCCCTCCTGGATCCCCTCAGGATGGATTTGGACTTGCCAGCCTCTCCTAGCTCATCCCACAGGAATTTCTCCCTCCCAAGGTGGTTTTGTTCCATTTTCCCTGCCCAGCAGGTCCAGGAGTGATGCCCCCAGCAGGGCTCCTGGGATCCCACGGGCACAGGGAGCTGCTGGGCAGGGAAAAGCCCTTGGGAATGCCCTGGCTTGTCCCCAGTGAGGCCACTCAGCCCCAGGGAAGGTTCACCAGTGCCTCAGGTTCAGCTTTTCTATTTTTCACATTCTGTGCTGCTCTAGTGTGTGGGTCTGGGCTTCACATCAGGGCATGGTGAGCTCTGTGCACAGAGCAGGGAGACAAAACAATTCCTGCTCCAGCTGGGCACCAAGGACAAATGATCCAAATCTCAGCCCCAAGAGCACAAACAGAAGAGTGAAAAACAGGAAGGATGGGACTTCATAACCTAAAGCTATAATTGGATAATTAACTCCAAGGTGCAAATGGAGCAGAGCTGATCCCAGTGACAGACCCCGTGGCCATCGTGTATTTTGGAACCATTTGGGTTCATCTTGGGTGCAGCCCTGGCTGGGCTCTTGTGCTGCCCAAGGTGGATCCATGGAGGAGATCCTTTCCATAAATCCCTGCTTTATTCTTTAGCTCTGTCCAGCCTCTGTCCCAAGGCATCAAGGGAAGCTCCAGACAAAGCCATCCCCAGGAACCATTTCCCACCTCACTGCCCGGATCCAGCTGCCACAGGCACTCAGGGGACAAATTCCACATTTTCCTTTGGAGCATCCCCTGTTCCCCCCTCCTGTGAGCCAGGAGCTCTCTGCTGAGGGTGCAGCCACCCCCAGTGCCAGGGCTGGCAATGCCAGGAGCAGCACACGGGCAGGGTTAGGGAAGCAGCTCCTGTGCCAGGTTACATTTCCCAACATGCAGCACCCCCAAACCCCACATGCAAACCCAGCCCCACCCAGGCAGCAGGGACAGGGACAGGGACACAGGCAGCAAGGAGCTCCCAAGCCCCGTGGTTCCCAGCTGGAGGCACAAGGAGCGCAGCGTTACTCCGGGGTTACTCCCAGGAGCAGGGCAGGAGCAAGCTCTGAGTTAGGGAATGGCAGGGAGGGTGTTAGGAGAGGAGCTGGACACGAGCAGTGCTGGGTCTGGTCTTACCTTCTGCAGGTGGAGTGCAGCCCAAAAAAAGGAGAGAAACACCCCTTTAACAACTTCAGCAAAACAACGCAGTCATCAATGCACACACCCCCTCCCCCCTGCCCCCAGAAGCACATCCCAGGGCTCTGGGATCCCAGGGAAGGAGGATTCACCTGCCAGGTGCCTCCAGAACAGCTCCAGTGTGGAGCCAGCACTGCCACCTCCGCCTGGGAACGAGCTTCATGGAAGCCAGCTGGGCCCTGGGGACGTGTCCCGTGTGGGGACACCGTGGAGTTGGAACTTACTCACTCCTCCTCCCCCTCTGCACCGCTCCCAGCTCAGCACTGCACCCCAAAATCCCAGTGCCATGCAGCAGGAGCTTCCTTACCCCAGGGGTGAGCCATGGGCTCCCCAAGAATGGAAACCAGAGCCCATCTGGAGTGTTCCCCACACCCCAGGGCACCTCAGTGCCTCACTCTGCACCAGCAGCACCCCAAGGGGGATTTTTGCCTGCACACCAGCATTTTGGGGTTCCTGGAGTTCCCCAAGGACACCTCAAGGCCTCACTCTGCACCAGCAGCACCCCGAGGGGGATCTCTGCTGCCACACCAGGATTTTGGGGTTCCTGCAGTGCCCCCAGGACACCTCAGTGCCTCACTCTGCACCAGCAGCACCCCAAGGGGGATTTTTGCCTGCACACCAGGATTTTGGGGTTCCTGGAGTACCCCCAGGACACCTTAGTGCCTCACTCTGCACCAGCAGCACTCTGAGGGGGATCTTGGCTGGCACACCAGGATTTTGGGGTTCCTGGAGTGCCCCCAGGGTGCCTCAGTGCCTCACTCTGCACCAGCAGCACCTCAAGGGGGATTTTTGCCTGCACATCAGGATTTGGGGGTTCCTGGAGTGCCCCCAGGACACCTTAGTGCCTCACTCTGCACCAGCAGCACTCTGAGGGGGATCTTGGCTGGCACACCAGGATTTTGGGGTTCCTGGAGCTGCTGAGTGCCCCCAGGACACCTCAGTGCCTCACTATGCACCAGCAGCACCCCAAGGGGATTTTTGCCTGCACACCAGGATTTTGGGGTTCCTGGAGTGCCCCCAGGGTACCTCAGTGCCTCACTCTGCACCAGCAGCACCTCAAGGGGGATTTTTGCCTGCACATCAGGATTTGGGGGTTCCTGGAGTGCCCCCAGGACACCTCAGTGCCTCACTCTGCACCAGCAGCACCCCGAGGGGGATCTTGGCAGCACAGGTCCTGCCCATCCCCAGGGAATGGGAACCAGCAGCTCCTGATCCCAGGGCAGGATCCAAAGAGAAGCTGCTCCCTCTGAGGCTTTTGGGGGCTGCAGTTAAAATTGAAGTGGTTTTGGGATCCTCTCTGTATTTGTGGTACAGAACCACCAGCTTGTACTGAAGAGAAACCCCAAACTGAGGGATTTTTGGGGGCCTCAGCTCTGGTGTTTTCCAGGAGGGAGAGCCAAGCTCTGAGGTTTCTCACCTTCAGAGAGTTCCAGCCCACACTTCTCCTTGCAACACTGAAAACTTCTCTGCAATTTTACCTTGGGGAAACAGCAAAAACTGCTACAACCAGCCTGGGCTGGGGTGAGAGAAGGGGAATATTCTGTCAGTTATTGATTTCACAACTTTGGAAGAGGGAAATGCACAGAGTCACCTGATGGGTTTCCCCTACACACAATAATTGTATTTAATCCTCCCTGACAGTGGCAGCAACCCAACCTTTCTGTGGCAATGTTCTTATTGAACTATTACATTTCAAATGTAATTTCAACATTCTGCCCTGCATTTATTAATTATGGATTCTACCAACTCAGACACTGAGTGGTTCAGAAATCAGCCTGGCCCCCAGTCCCTCTGCAGCTCTCCTGGAGCCCCTCCAGGCCCTGCCAGGGGCTCTGAGCTCTCCCTGGATCCTTCTCCTCTCCAGGTGAGCCCCCCCAGCTCTGCCAGCCTGGCTCCAGGGGCTCCTCTGGGCTCTCTCAGCAGCTCCAGGGAAAGCCAAACCCCACTGGGAGCTGCAGGGACTCCCTGGAGCCCTCCCTGCTGCAGCCCCAACCCTGAGGAACTCAGACAAACACTGAACCACCCCACAAGGAAAATGCTCCCAACAATTCCAACCCTTTCCCCTGGCTGCGAAAGAGGAACAGAAGGCCAGCTGTGGGCAGGAAATCCTGCACAGCAAAACCCCAAGAGGGTTTTCATGGCCATTTCACATTCCAAAAACCTCACTCAGGAGGATCTGAGGGAACCCAGGCTGGTGATTCCTCAGGGAGGAATGTCTGGGTGTCCCTGTCCCACCCCAGACACTCAATGTGAGCAATATCCAACCTCTGGGACAAGATCTCAGCATGTGCCAGGGGAGGATTTGTAGAAAATGTTTAAAACATGATAAAAGGTTCATACAGTGAGTATTTGTACGTAAATTTTGAAATATAAATGCTGATTTAGAAATGCTGTTGGATAGGATAGATATTGCATAGGATACAGGATGGATATGAGAGAAAAATGGAAATAGAAATAAATTTTAAAGGATGGTTTTGTAAAAAAGAAATGCCTCCAGTGTATTGTAATTAGGAAATAGCTGACTTCTGATTTTGATGGTGTGAATTATAACATCTGCATTGCCTTCACATGAGACTAAAAATAAAATAAAAGTTTTTAAAGCACCTCTCAGCTGCCCCAACTCTGGGTCAGAAAAAATTCAATGAAACATCCCAGGAGCCAGGGAATGGCTTCCACTGCCAGATGGGAGATTGGGAATTGGGAATTGTTCCCTGGCAGGGTGGGCAGGCCCTGGCACAGCTGGGGCTGCCCCTGCATCCCTGGCAGTGCCCAAGGCTGGGATGGACACTGGGACACCCTGGCACAGTGGGGGGTTCATTTCATCTCATTTCAGAGATGGGAGTCAGGGCTTAGATTATTTATTTCCTTGGTTAACCATTTTTTTGGGCAAAAGCAGCTCCTGTGTTTGGCCAGAGCTTCCCAGGGTGGTGCTCTACATAAAATCCAAGAGAAAAATGGAGTATTATTGGCTGCTGAGAGGAAAAGCCAGCAGAGATATCCTCCAAAAAGCTCATTTCCATTAGATGCTCTTACACTGACCTTAACACTCCCAGGGAGACCAAGGAAATGCAATGACAAATTGGAATTTTTGATTTTAGAAGCGACCCCTCATCGGACAGAAGTGGTTCCCTGCTGTCCTGTCCCTCCCCTGGCAGTGCCCACCGTGCCCAGGCTCCCCCAGGGCACAGGTCTGGGATGTGGGGCAGGTCCTGGAGCCCATCCAAAGACGTTTTTCCATGGATTCCATGGGAAGGATTCCATGGAAAGGATGCAAGCACCTGCCTGCAGGCTCTCCAGGGAGCAGGGCAGCCTGTCCCAGCAGGCAAGCTGGGAAAAGGGGGGGACAGATCACACAAAAAAAGGGAATTTTGGATGTCTGAGGAATGCAGACTCAACTCCTCCAAGCCCTGGGCTCACCTTTACAAAATCCCTTGAGTACCAGGGAAAAATCCTAATTACAGCTGAGGTCAGCCAGCATCCCCCTGGGCTCTGCACTGCACAAAACAATCCTAGCAAAGCCCTGCTGTTGTCCAAAACCCCCCAAACTGTCCTGCACATGACAGAAACCCCCCAATCCATGATTTCCTTCCACATCCCACTGCAATTCCAAACCCTCCATCCCACTGGTGCTTCCAGGACCCCTGAGCTCCCCCCAGGGATCATCCCAGGGGGAGGCACTGCCCTGGGGAACAGAGAGAGAAACACCCTTCATTTACTTTGGTGTTTTAGTGCAGTTAGTGTGAAGAACAAGAAAATCATAACACCAGCTATCTTTGTCTCTGAAACAGTGCTACCAGCTAGAAAAATGAATTTTCACTTCTACAGCTGAAGACAGCATTTACACAGTGCATTTAAACACTGTGCATTTACACATTTACACAGTGCATTTAAACCCTGTGCATTTACACATTTACACAGTGCATTTAAACACTGTGCATTTACACATTTACACAGTGCATTTAAACCCTGTGCATTTACACATTTAATCAGTGCTTTTAAACACTGCATTTACACATTTAATCAGTGATTTTAAACACTGTGCATTTTCACATTTACACATTTACACAGTGCATTTAAACACTGTGCATTTTCACATTTAATCAGTGATTTTAAACACTGCATTTACACATTTAACCAGTGATTTTAAACACTGCATTTACACATTTAACCAGTGCATTTAAACCCTGTGCATTTACACAGTGCATTTAAACACTGCATTTACACATTTAACCAGTGATTTTAAACACTGCATTTACACATTTAATCAGTGATTTTAAACACTGTGCATTTTCACATTTAACCAGTGATTTTAAACCCTGTGCTTTGTCAGATACTTGGGTGGCAGCAGTAAAAGCCAGGGCAGACTCCCCTCTTGAACACCCATGATATTCACAGTATCACTGAGTTATCATTTCCTGGCTCACTCTAGGCTGTGGTAGAGACCAGGTCATTTTACAGCTCTCTGAAAACTGTCAGAAATTGGTTTAAGATTTTTTTTTTTAAATGAGATTCAACAGAATGATTTGATCAGTGGCAAGCCCAGCTGGGCTCCCCATCCCCTGTGCCCCCTCCCCAGGCTCTGGGAAAGCCCCTTGGCCCTTCCAAAGCTGTCCTGAGCTTGCTGTACTTGGGATTTCCAAAAGCTGCTTTGTGCCAAGCCCATTTTGTCACAGGCTGTGCCTGACCACAAACAAAACCCAGCACAAATCCTGGCCCTGACTGCAATTTAACTGCTTCAAATGTGACAAGCCTTCAGCTTTTAACTTAAAGAAAGCTTTATTACAAGAGAATAATGTATATCTAAATAGATATCTAATCCAAATAGATATCTAAATAGATATTTTTGTATTTCAAATATATATAATAAATATAATTTATATATATATGTATATGTGTTTATATCTATAAATATAATTTATATTTATATAAATTATTTATAGTTATATAATTTTATATGATGACACATTAAATCTGTATAATAGATATCTATCTATTTATATGTTTGTATATTAACATATATTTGTAAATTCCTAAATATAAATTCTATATTTATATAATATTTCTATTAATTATATTCCTACAAGTATAATTTTACCCATATTTATATTTATATTTATATAATAACAAATATATATTTCTATAATTTATATTTTTAAAAATATATATCAAATATGTATTTGATATATTACAAAGTAATACTGAAAAGCCAAGCTCCCTGCCCAGCACCCCAGTGTGGCCAAGGGGAAGAGCTGAAATTGGAGTTTCCCACCTGGCTGCTCCCACCAACACCTTTGGGACTGCAGATCCTGCTGCTCAAGGCAGCTCCTTCAGAGAGGAAAACAAACCCCAGAGCTGAGCTCAGCCCCAGAGCAGCTCTGAAAGGAGGAGCTGACAAGGGTGAAAGGCACAGCTGCATTTCTGTGCTGCTTTTTTTGGCTCTTTGTCCAAAATCTGCCCTGAGCAGGCACAGACTGGATCTCCTGGGTCCCACCTGGGCTCCTGCTCGGGGTTCTGCCCCAAAAACACGGGATTTTGGTAAAAAAGGTTCATCAGGGTCAGTGATGGGTGTTGGCTGCCCTTGTGCTCTGCCAGTTTAACACTGTCTAGTTTAACACTGTCTAGTTTAACACTGCCTAGCACAGAACTGCAGCTGTCCCCAAAGCCTGGCTGTCCCTCCCTCCCTTTGGTCACTCCCCAGGAGCTGCCTGAGCCCCCTGGGATGGATAAACCCCACATTTCCCAGAGCTAACAGCCCAGGGGGACAGCACAACTCCTGCACGTGGCCCCTGACTATTCCTGCAAAGCAGAAGCACTGCTGCATCCAGCTGGCAAAGGGGAGTGCAAAACACAATTAAGCCAAATTTAGGATGGCTGCTTAATTCCAAAATAGACAAGCAGGCCCAGCCCATCCTCCTCACTCCCCTCTCTTTTTCTTTGCTCTCAGAAAACTGAAGAAATACTCTGCACTTCCCATGGATTACTGCTCCTCACTGATCCCTGGGAGAGCTGATTCCCACCGGGATTCCAGGACTCTGGAATCCAGCTGAGCAGCTCTGGAGCTGCTCCATGCCCAGAGCAGATGGGTTTCATGGAGCTGGCTCTGCTCCAGCATCCCACCAGGCTGCTCAGGAATGTCTCTAAGGAACAATCACACCCCCATGCAGGCAACACAAGGCAGAACAGCACCAGAAATCCAGTTTTCCATATGAGAATCTTTAACTGAAGCTGCTCTTACATCAAACTGTGCATTCACTTCTTTTTTAAAGCAGGAATTAAAAATTCTTATGTTTCCTACAGTTCCTGAAGCCCCTGACCAGGGCTGGGTTATCCTACAAAGGAGCTGCAGCCAAGTCCTTTTTCTTTTATCCTTTTATCCTATAAAGGACCTGCAGCCAAGTCTTTTTTTTTTTTTAATTTCCTATAAAGGAGCTACAGCCAAATCCTGCACACTTGGGAATCAGGGATGACCTTACCCAGTTCAGTGGGGAAAAGCACTTGGGAGCTGTTTAAAACAGGACCCAGACTCCAAACCTGAAATATTTCAGTCCCCAAACTCCTCAGGAGCTGGGGGTTAACAGCAAACTACACCAAGCTGGAAGCAGAGCAGCAGAGGCTTTTCCTGCTTTACTCAACTCACCTGATTTCCTTAAGTCCTTCTTTCTGGATAACTTGAAGGATCTCTTTATGGCTCATGGGTGTGTTGGGATATTTCTCCAGGACCTGGCAAGAAAGAGCAGATTGAGAGGAAGTTATTCCTTTGCATTCTGAATTTACATTCAGAATTACTTACAGGTTACTGCACCAAAACCTCCATTTAATGGCAGTTATTCCTTTGCATTCTGAATTTCCATCCAGCTGCACCAAAACCTCCATTTAATGGCAGTTATTCCTTTCCATTCTGAATTTATATCCAGCTGCACCAAAACCTCCATTCAATGGCAGTTATTCCTTTGCATTCTGAATTTCCATCCAGCTGCACCAAAACCTCAATTCAATGGCAGTTATTCCTTTGCACTCTGAATTTATATTCACCTGCACCAAAACCTCCATTCAATGGCAGTTATTCCTTTGCATTCTGAATTTACATTCACCTGCACCAAAACCTCCATTCAATGGCAGTTATTCCTTTGCATTCTGAATTTATATTCACCTGCACCAAACCCTCCATTCAATGGCAGTTATTCCTTTGCATTCTGAATTTCCATTCACCTGCACCAAAACCTCCATTCAATGGCAGTTATTCCTTTGCATTCTGAATTTCCATCCAGCTGCACCAAAACCTCCATTCAATGGCAGTTATTCCTTTGCATTCTGAATTTCCATTCAACTCCACCAAAACCTCCATTCAATGGCAGTTATTCCTTTGCATTCTGAATTTCCATCCAGCTGCACCAAAACCTCCATTTAATGGCAGTTATTCCTTTGCATTCTGAATTTCCATTAAACTCCACCAAAACCTCCATTCAATGGCAGTTATTCCTTTGCATTCTGAATTTCCATTAAACTCCACCAAAACCTCCATTCAATGGCAGTTATTCCTTTGCATTCTGAATTTCCATTAAACTCCACCAAAACCTCCATTTAATGGCAGTAACTCCTTTCCATTCTGAATTTCCATCCAGCTGCACCAAAACCTCCATTCAATGGCAGTTATTCCTTTGCATTCTGAATTTATATTCACCTGCACCAAAACCTCCATTTAATGGCCTGCACTTCTCCAAGGACACAACCCAGGGAGAACCACAGTCCCTCCACACCTCCCCTGAAGGAGCAGAGAGGTTCCAGAGGTTGGCTAAAGGACTTTTCTCAGTGCAAATTCCCATTTTATTTCCAGTGTTGCCCTCAGACAGCACTCCCTGCAGAATGCAATGCTCCTTTAGCTCCCCAGGCAGGAACTGCCCAGTTCCTCAGCCACACTTCCAAAAACCCAAATCCTTCTGCTGCCACCCTTTCAGCAGTGGGGCTGAGAAGCTGAAGGAAATGGAGTTTGACACTGCTGGGGAATTCCTTTCAGTTCACAGCTGTATTTGTTTCTGTTTCTTCAGGGAGGTCCCCAACTCTACAGGTGTCCTCACACAGGGCACCAACAAATGTTGGGTTTTGGGGTTTTTTCCTACCTCTGCTGAGGATTGAAGGTACTTGAGATTATAGTTTGTGTTCAGATTTAGGTGTTTATTATTTCTTACCTATGTTACAGTCTCACAGCAGTGAGTTCTGCAGTCTTTCATTAACAAGGCACAAAATGGCCAACTACCTCTTAGTGCAAGGTCTTTTAAGGCTAAATTATCTAATTAAGAAATTGCACTTAAATGACTGTCACTTTTAACCCAGTAACTAATCCCTCAAGGTCTGCAGGGTGGGCTTTTCTTTTCCAGTTACAAAATACCACCCAAACCCATGGAGAAGAAGGTGAAGAAGGAGAAGAAGAAGATGAGGAAGGAAAAGAAGGAGAAGAAGGCGAGGGAGAAGAAGGAGAAAAACAAGGTGAAGAAGAAGGTGAGGGAGGAGAAGAAGGAGGTAAAGGAGAAGGAGAAGAAGAAGGTGAAAAAGGAGAAGAAAATGAAGAAGAAGGATCAGTCTCTACCCTAACACATTCATCTTGCCCCATATATATGACTATTCTAAAACCCCAAACTCTAAATTTTCCACCCTGTGCTATCACCCACTTCTAACCAACTCCACACCCACAATCCCAGTGCTGTCAGTCAATTTTGGAAGCCTTCTCCACAGCCTCAGCTCACATGCAGTGCTGTCCTGGAGGCCAGAGCCTGTCAGCACAGAAATCTGCAATTCCCAGCACCCAGAGCTCCACCCAGCCAGGGGCTGTTTGAAACCCCCTGCACACACCGAGTTCCCAAGTCTGGCGCACAACCACGGGTTTTTTGTTGGAGTGCCAGCCCTGCCCCAGCCCCTGGGGTCCCTGAGCTGCTCCTGAGGGTCCGGCAGGCAGGAGTGCAGCTGCAGGGAGCTGCTGCAGGCTGCAGCAGCAGATGCCACTCACCACACGTCACTGGGATATTTCAGGCCGTGTTGGTGCTGGGGAGGGGGATGGGCAGGAAATGCCTGGTTTCCGTCTTAATCATCAGCTTCTGACCCGAGCCCAGCACATCAAAGGCCAGGCCTGACTTAGGCTCAGCCCGCAGTGCTCAGCACGAAGCCCTGGGTGACTCTGCAGGAGAGGAGCAGCTCCCGCTCCTCTCTTGAGCAGAACTCCAGGACCCTGCCCCTCATTCCCTCAGGGATCCCCAGGATATCCCAGTCCCCTCAGGGATGGATCCCCAGGTTATCCCAGTTCCCTCATTCCCTCAGGGATCCCCAGGTTACCCCAGTCCCCTCAGGGATCCCCAGGTTATCCCAATCCCCTCATTCCCTCAGGGATCCCCAGGATATCCCAGTCCCCTCAGGGATTCCCAGGTTATCCCAATCCCCTCATTCCCTCAGGGATCCCCAGGATATCCCAGTCCCATCAGGGATCCCCAGGATATCCCAGTCCCCTCATCCCCTCAGGGATCCCCAAGTTACCCCAGTCCCCTCAGGGATCCCCAGATTATCCCAGTCCCCTCATTCCCTCAGGGATCCCCAGGTTACCCCAGTCCCCTCAGGGATGGATCCCCAGGTTACCCCAGTCCCCTCAGGGATTCCCAGGTTATCCCAATCCCCTCATTCCCTCAGGGATCCCCAGGATATCCCAGTCCCCTCAGGGATCCCCAGGTTACCCCAGTCCCCTCAGGGATGGATCCCCAGGTTACCCCAGTCCCCTCAGGGATGGATCCCCAGGTTACCCCAGTCCCCTCAGGGATCCCCAGGTTATCCCAGTCCCCTCATTCCCTCAGGGATCCCCAGGTTATCCCAGTGCCCTCATTCCCTCAGGGATGGATCCCCAGGTTATCCCAGCCCAGCTCTCCTGGAAAGGCTCTGCCAGGCCCTGCTGAGCTGCAGCACCTCCCTGCTCCCACAACAAATCCCTGCATGCAGCTCCATCTGCAGCTCTGGATGCTCCAGCTGATGGCCCCATCCTGGAAAATCTCTTCTTAAGTGATGTTAAAGCCTGACTTTCACAGAACCATGGGACGGTTTGGGTGGGAAGGGGCCCTAAAGCCCATCCAGTGCCACCCCCTGCCATGGCAGGGACACCTTCCAGCACACCAGGTGACTCCAAGCCCTGTCCAGCCTGGCCTTGGGCACTTCCAGGGATGCAGGAGCAGCCAGAGCTGCTCTGTAAGATGGAAGAGGGATTTGTCTGCACTGCCACAGCCTCAGGGGCTCATCCCACCTCTACAGAAACTCCAGAGCAAAGGATCCAGAGCTGGGGTGTTTGCAGAGTGATCTCAGCCAGGCCAGAGCAGGTTTTGGTTCTCACAGCTCTGCCCAGGACACAGCTCACCCTGTGCCACCAGCCTGGAGCTGCACCCAAAGCTGGCAGCCCAGGGAAGGCCAGAAATTAAGGATGTCTCCATTTCCATCTGTGGGTTCACCTTTTCACTGCAGGTGGTGAAATCAGGAGAGGAGTGAAGCTGAGAGTCCATCCACAGGGAGCTCAGGGCCATTTCCACCACACCAAACTCTGACTGGGCATTTTCCTCCTGGGCACTGAGTTATCCCAATTTTCCCTCCCTGGATGTGCTCCTAACATGCTCAGCCTGGAGCAGCAGCAGCATCATTGATTAATTTGTCCCCAGTGAAGGCTGTGTTCCACCAGAGAACCTCGGCCAGGGCAGAGGGGAGAAAAGCTGCTCCACTTGTGTCCCTGCACCTCTCCCAGGTAACCCTTCCATGTCCACAGGGCTCTGTGCTGGGCCTGAGCTCAGCAGGGTGAGGCTGCACAGGTCTGGCCTCCTGCCACCCCCGCCTGGCTGCTGCAAACCCTGCAGGGCTGCTCTGGGAAGGACACAGGGAACATCAACCAGCTCTGCCAGGTGTCCCTGCTCTCCAGGAGATTCCTAGAACCACAGAATCCTTGAGACTGGAAAACCCCTTGGAGATCACCAAGTCCAACTCATTCTCCAACACTGCCAAAGCCACCCAGGAGCCACATCCACAGGGCTTTAAAATCCCACCAGGGATGGGCACTCCAGACCTCCCTGGGCAGCCCCTGCCAAGGCCTGAGCACCCTTTCCATGGGGAAATTCCTCCTGGCGTCCAACCTGAGCCTGCCCTGGCCCAGCCTGAGGCCATTTCCCCTTGTCCTGTCCCTGTTCCCTGGCAGCAGAGCCCAACCCCCCCTGGCTGTCCCCTCCTGTCAGGGAGTTGTGCAGAGCCACAAGGTCCCCCCTGAGCCTCCTTTTCTCCAGGCTGAGCCCCTTCCCAGCTCCCTCAGCCTCTCCTGGGGCTCCATTCCCTTCCCAGCTCCCTCAGCCTCTCCTGGGGCTCCATTCCCTTCCCAGCTCCCTCAGCCTCTCCTGGGGCTCCATTCCCTTCCCAGCTCCCTCAGCCTCTCCTGGGGCTCCATTCCCTTCCCAGCTCCCTCAGCCTCTCCTGGGGCTCCATTCCCTTCCCAGCTCCCTCAGCCTCTCCTGGGGCTCCATTCCCTTCCCAGCTCCCTCAGCCTCTCCTGGGGCTCCATTCCCTTCCCAGCTCCCTCAGCCTCTCCTGGGGCTCCATTCCCTTCCCAGCTCCCTCAGCCTCTCCTGGGGCTCCATTCCCTTCCCAGCTCCCTCAGCCTCTCCTGGGGCTCCATTCCCTTCCCAGCTCCCTCAGCCTCTCCTGGGGCTCCATTCCCTTCCCAGCTCCCTCAGCCT